GGTGCATATATCCACTTCAGAATTTGTAATTATATTAGTTTTTACATGGCTAATACATTTGCATACTCAATTGTAAATTTGTTAACAAAAAGTTTACAACTCAGCTATTAATTCATGTATCCACTTCAGAATTTGTATTTATATTAGTTTTTACACGGCTAATACATTTGCATGCTCAATTGTAAAATTGTAAACAAAAAGTTCACAACTCAGATAATAATGCATGTATCCACGGCAGAATTTATATTTAAATTAGTTCTTACACGGCTTATACATTTGCATACTCAATTGTAAATTTGTAAACAAAAAGTTCACAACTCAGCTAATAATGCCTGAATCCACTTCAGAATTTATATTTATATTAGTTTTTACACGTCTAATACATTTGCATGCTCAATTGTAAAATTGTAAACAAAAAGTTCACAACTCAGATAATAGTGCATATATCCACTTCAGAATTCGTAATTATATTAGTTTTTACATGGCTAATACATTTGCATACTCAATTGTAAATTTGTAAACAAAAAGTTCACAACTCAGCTAATAATGCATGTATCCACTTCAGAATTTGTATTTATATTAGTTTTTACAATGCTAATACATTTGCATACTCAATTGTAAATTTGTAAACAAAAAGTTCACAACTCAGCTAATAATGCATCTATCCACTTCAGAATTTGTAATTATATTAGTTTTTACAATGCTAATACATTTGCATACTCAATAGTAAATTTGTAAACAAAAAGTTCACAACTCAGCTAATAATTCATGTATCCACTTCAGAATTTGTATTTATATTAGTTTTTACACGGCTAATACATTTGCATGCTCAATTGTAAATTTGTAAACAAAAAGTTCACAACTCAGATAATAGTGCATATATCCACTTCAGAATTTGTAATTATATTAGTTTTTACATGGCTAATACATTTGCATACTCAATTGTAAATTTGTAAACAAAAAGTTCACAACTCAGCTAATAATTCATGTATCCACTTCAGAATTTGTATTTATATTAGTTTTTACACGGCTAATACATTTGCATGCTCAATTGTAAAATTGTAAACAAAAAGTTCACAACTCAGATAATAGTGCCTATATCCACTTCAGAATTTGTAATTATATTAGTTTTTACATGGCTAATACATTTGCATACTCAATTGTAAATTTGTAAACAAAAAGTTCACAACTCAGCTAATAATGCATGTATCCACTTCAGAATTTGTATTTATATTAGTTTTTACACGGCTAATACATTTGCATGCTCAATTGTAAAATTGTAAACAAAAAGTTCACAGCTCAGATAATAATTCATGTATCCACTTCAGAATTTGTATTTATATTAGTTTTTACATGGCTAATACATTTGCATACTCAGGTATAAATTTGTAAACAAAAATTTCACAACTCAGCTAATAATGCCTGAATCCAATTCAGAATTTGTATTTATATTAGTTTTTACAAGGCTAATACATTTGCATTCTCAATTGTAAATTTGTAAACAAAAATTTCACAGCTCAGCTAATAATGCCTGTATCCACTTCAGAATTTGTATTTATATTAGTTTTTACAGGGCTAATTCATTTGCATACTCAATTGTAAATTTGTAAACAAAAAGGTCACAACTCAGCTAATAATGCATTCACTTCAAAATTTGTATTTATATTAGTTTTTACACGGCTAATACATTTGCATGCTCAATTGTAAAATTGTAAACAAAAAGTTCATAACTCAGATAATGGTGCATATATCCACTTCAGAATTTGTAATTATATTAGTTTTTACATGGCTAATACATTTGCATACTCAATTGTAAATTTGTTAACAAAAAGTTTACAACTCAGCTATTAATTCATGTATCCACTTCAGAATTTGTATTTATATTAGTTTTTACACGGCTAATACATTTGCATGCTCAATTGTAAAATTGTAAACAAAAAGTTCACAACTCAGATAATAATGCATGTATCCACGGCAGAATTTATATTTAAATTAGTTCTTACACGGCTTATACATTTGCATACTCAATTGTAAATTTGTAAACAAAAAGTTCACAACTCAGCTAATAATGCCTGAATCCACTTCAGAATTTATATTTATATTAGTTTTTACACGTCTAATACATTTGCATACTTAATTGTAAATTTGTAAACAAAAAGTTCACAACCCAGATAATAATGCATGTATCCACGGCAGAATTTATATTTAAATTAGTTCTTACAATGCTAATACATTTGCATACTCAATAGTAAATTTGTAAACAAAAAGTTCACAACTCAACTAATAATGCATGTATCGACGGCAGAATTTGTACTTATATTAGTTTTTACATGGCTTATACATTTGCATACTCAATTGTAAATTTGTAAACAAAAAAGTTCACAACTCAGCTAATAATGCCTGAATCCACTTCAGAATTTATATTTATATTAGTTTTTACACGTCTAATACATTTGCATACTCAATTGTAAATTTGTAAACAAAAAGTTCACAACTCAGATAATAATGCATATATCCACTTTAGAATTTATATTTAAATTAGTTCTTACAATGCTAATACATTTGCATACTCAATTGTAAATTTGTAAACAAAAATTTCACAGCTCAGCTAATAATGCCTGTATCCACTTCAGAATTTGTATTTATATTAGTTTTTACAGGGCTAATTCATTTGCATACTCAATTGTAAATTTGTAAACAAAAAGGTCACAACTCAGCTAATAATGCATTCACTTCAAAATTTGTATTTATATTAGTTTTTACACGGCTAATACATTTGCATGCTCAATTGTAAAATTGTAAACAAAAAGTTCACAGTTCAGATAATAGTGCATATATCCACTTCAGAATTTGTAATTATATTAGTTTTTACATGGCTAATACATTTGCATACTCAGGTATAAATTTGTAAACAAAAATTTCACAACTCAGCTAATAATGCCTGAATCCACTTCAGAATGTGTATTTATATTAGTTTTTACAAGGCTAATACATTTGCATACTCAATTGTAAATTTGTAAACAAAAATTTCACAGCTCAGCTAATAATGCCTGTATCCACTTCAGAATTTGTATTTATATTAGTTTTTACAGGGCTAATTCATTTGCATACTCAATTGTAAATTTGTAAACAAAAAGGTCACAACTCAGCTAATAATGCATTCACTTCAAAATTTGTATTTATATTAGTTTTTACACGGCTAATACATTTGCATGCTCAATTGTAAAATTGTAAACAAAAAGTTCATAACTCAGATAATGGTGCATATATCCACTTCAGAATTTGTAATTATATTAGTTTTTACATGGCTAATACATTTGCATACTCAATTGTAAATTTGTTAACAAAAAAGTTTACAACTCAGCTATTAATTCATGTATCCACTTCAGAATTTGTATTTATATTAGTTTTTACACGGCTAATACATTTGCATGCTCAATTGTAAAATTGTAAACAAAAAGTTCACAACTCAGATAATAATGCATGTATCCACGGCAGAATTTATATTTAAATTAGTTCTTACACGGCTTATACATTTGCATACTGTAATGGTTGCCTACACTGAAAAATTGATCACAACTATCTACAGTGTAAGTTAACTGAATCAGGCAGCAGTGTATACAGCGGAACGGGACCCTCTTGTTGTTTCTAGCTCTTCCGGGATGGGGGGGTTATTGCTGTTACTGCTTCCGACATTACACGAAGAATTATTTATAGAGTCCCTATCTGAAACTAATAAGCCATCTGATCATGGCTGAAATATTCAGGCTAACTGCCTACAAAAGAAAATCAGAGAAAATCTCCAACTCACAGGACGACAATAATGATGAAAAGGGAATATGTCTAGCACCAGGATCTGTTCGTGGTGTCTTAGCTGTTGTTTGACACACACAGAGTCGCTACCCACCCTACCAATGCCTTTGTACTTTAAGTGTTAGCAAAGACCCCATATTGTAGCTGATCAAAACATTTAAATCCCCAGGTCACGAGATGATTGCATCTACTCCATCATGATATTACTGATTCGATATGACATACTGCATTATTTATTTAAATAATTTCAATAGAAAAGTAACTTAAAGAAATTCTGGTTACTGACATAATAATTTCGAATGTTCGTTTTAATTAATTTGCTTCTTTTCATTTTTTAATTTAAAACAATTCAGTTGCGATTCATTTATGCTTTCATTGTGACTACAAATGTTTTTAAACGAGGACTTAATGATTAGTTTCTAATTTATTTGTATTGTATTTACATATTTTCTGATAAAGTTAGCGAAAAGCAGAATAAAACTACGCGTTCCTAATCATAATTCAAATATTTCATCTTCATAATTACGTTGGTGCTGGTAGCAATAGAGATCTGCAATGCATACACTAGCCAAGAATATAGCAAAACAAACGCATACCGAGAATTAAGATTTGGTAATGATCATTATATACTCAATAAGAGCGCGGCTAGAGGAGCATTTATACGCAATTAGAAGTGTCCAGAATCTGGCAGCCCAAAACAAACAAAAAGAAAAGAATAACGAACAGAGCTTACGGCTCTTCACGGTAGCAGCGGTTGGCTTGGATGATCATATCATGTCACATTAAATTGGTGTTTAAATATATATATCCATTTTTGGATCACTTACCCCCATCCGATCCTCGTTGAAGGCCTTCACGATGACGTGGATGACGAGCTGTTAGCGTGTGTTTAAATGATTGTTAATTTAATGCAACATAAATGATTCGTTGGATCGACCCTGCTTATCGCGTTCTTTATGTCTGGTTGTGCGGGTTTTTAGGGCACATGAACCTAGGTCAAGTTTACGCAATCGCGTTCGCTTAGCTAGCGCATGCACTCTAGATACATACTACAGTTTTCCGAGGCTCAAACGAGCCAGATGCGACCGAAATCTGATTAAAAAAATCCGAAACTTTTACAGTTGCATAAAACCTAACTAAATCTGCACTCCGGATCTAATGCCGGTTTTGTTTATTTCTGGAGGAGTTTACTCCGATCCTACGCCTTCGTCACGCTCTGGCCGAAAATTGTGGTCCCTGGCCACAGCGTTTGTCGTCTCCCTTCCTCTGCCGCAGCTGGCGAAGCGCGGAAAGGAAAAATAAGTAATCCCACGCCGATGACGTAATCGGGGCTCCTGGCCACCGAACAGATTCGCGGGCAGGGTCGCAAAGGTTTTCGCTTCACCTTTGGCAATATTCCGGTTGCCCTTATAGGAAGGTTCGACTAGAAAAAACAACCGTGGTTACGGAGAGAGCTTTCAGTCGTATAAGAAAACTATTTACCGACAGAGGATGATGCAGAGTAAACTGCGGTACGCTTGAGCGTGGAGCTCCAGAAGGTTCCTTCGCCTGTATGTAGGCGTGCAAGCCGAGAAGGCACGCCGTATTGCGCTGTCTCTATAGGAAACCAATATTAATGCAAGTGCAAATGGCTTGAAGTCTCAAAATAATTACCCAAAACCGGTGCGCGACACTGGCGGATGGTTAACTGGTCGGATGCAACGGCCGATGCCTTGTATTAAATTGGCAAAAGGGACACGTGGCACTTGTGTATTAATTTCGCTCACAGATCGACACTTCTGTAGCGTTCGGCGTTGCAGTGAAAAAAAGGAAGAAGGCGGATGTTTTGATCGTGTCGGAAATGATGCTTAATCGATTAATTCGTGCTGTCAACTGTCAATTTCGCACAGCTGATTGTGATCGACTAGGGCTGGAGCATACGATATGACTATCGTAAGGCGCGTATGTCAAATCTTTTGAATTTTACAACGTTAACCTTTTTGTCCAATGCTGCCCATTACAACCACAGATAATCTGGCAAGTAATCGCAGACACGATTAGCTGGAATCAGCTTCGTATATCCTTTGCGTGGTAGGTTCCTATCTCCTTTCCTGCTAACGTTTCCAATAGATAAAACGAACTACCTAATTTCTTCTTAATTCGACACTTAGAAAATTGGTGTCCTAACTTCTTATTGTAATTCTGACTAAAATTACTTAAATGAAAGTTTCGCTTAAAGACTTCTTGACCTTCTTTAAATACAATATGATTAGCTCTTAAATTGTATTGTTTCACATTAGTTTCATATGCTTTACGACTATTCTTTTTGATTTCTTCGCGAATTACAGCTAATTGGTCTACTCTATCCAATCGAGTCGATTCTTCTAATAACGATAATTGTTTCAATAGCTTATAATCAGATCCATGATTAATCATATTAAAGCCAAAGAGAGCTTTATAAGGAGAACAACCTAAAGACTGATGTAATGCAGATCGAAGAGCAGACGAGATACCTGTCAAATTTACATCCCATTCTGTTTGATCTTCTTGAAGATATGATCGTATAGCTGCCAATAAAGAACGATTGACTCTTTCGGCCGCATTACTTTGCGGTGAATAAAGAGCTGTACATATATGACGAATACCCCATTTGGTTATCATGGCCTCGAATTCTTTTGCCTTAAACTGGGATCCATTATCACTAATTATTGTCTCTGGTACTCCAAACTCACAAAAAATTCGCTCGCACAAAAAGTTATTAATGGCGGCCGTAGTGAACTTTTTAAGCGGACAGAGCCAATGATATCGGCTAAAATGGTCAAGTACAATCAGGAATCCAGTATAACCTCTTTTTACTACGAGGATAAGGTCCGAGTATATCAACGTACAATCGTTGAAAGGGTCTGATTGATACACTCTGCTCACCCATGGGTGGTCGTAATATTTTATTTGGTGCTTTTGTCTGTTTACACATTGCACACTCATTTACATAATTTCGAACCTCTTTTGACAATCCTGGCCAAAAAAGATTACGTCGTAGTCTCTCAATAGTTTTGTGTATCCCTCCATGGGCTGACACGACACTATCATGAGCCTGCCAAATTGCAGCACTTCGCAGCTTTTCAGGAACCCAGAGCTTCCAACTATCCGCTTCCTGTTCTGTATTTCCCGATGGATGGTCCGTCCGTATGTAAACGAATTTCCCATGGACTCGTAAATCCGGAAACTTATCAACATTCTGTTCTACTCGCTTTCGAAGTTCTTCATAACTTTGTTCCGTAAAAGCATCAGAATATAAATCGATTTCGGGTCCAACAAACTCTAAACTCTCAATGTGTTCCTCACAAATCCTCGATAAGGCATCTGGTACGATATGATCCTTACCTTTTCTATGAGATATGGTGAATTTAAATCCTTGTAACCGAAAAATCCATCTGGCAAGACGACCTGATACATTTTGTTGTCTCATCAGCCATAGCAGACTGGAATGATCAGTTACCACCTCAAATTCTTGCAACTCTAAATAGCAACGGAATTTTTCTATTGACAATATTACAGCCAAGCATTCACGCTCTGTAACACTATAATTACGCTGTGACTTGGAAAGTTTCTTTGACATAAAAGCTATAGGCCTTTCATCTCCTGCTTCAGATAATTGTACTAAGACTGCTCCAATGCCAAAGTCGCTAGCATCGCAGTGAAGAAAGAATTTCTGCGAAAAGTCAGGATTATGTAGTACAGGAGCAGAGGTAAGTTTCTGTTTTAACGCATTCATCGCTTCCTGAGCTTCAGCAGACCATTTAAACGTCTTACTTTTTGACAACAGTTCGGTGATGGGAAAAGTTAATTCAGCAAAATTTGAAATAAAACGACGATACCAAACACATACACCTAAAAATCCTCTGACTTGTTTGATATTACGAGGTGGAGGCCAGTTCAGGATACAGGAGATCTTGGCTGGGTCTGTGGAGATACCTCCTTCGCCAATAATGTATCCCAAATAATTAACTTTGGTCACACAGAAATGACTCTTGCTGACATTCAGCGTTAAGTTTGCCTTACGGAATTGCTCTGCAATTCGAATCAGGACAGACAAATGAGATTCAAAGTCTTCGGTCACTATGCATAAATCGTCTAAATATCCAAACACACAGTGACGGAGATCTGTAGGAATTAGATCGTCCATTAGTCGACACATAGTTGATGGAGCGTTACATAAGCCGAATGGCATTACAACAAATTGAAAGAGAGCTCGACCTGGCACTGTGAAAGCCGTGAGTGGTTTTGCTTCATCCGTTAACTGAATCTGCCAATAGGCATCCTTTAGATCCAATTTACTAATAATATTAGCCTTTGGTAAGCGAGAGAAGATCCCATCAATGCTTTGTAAGGGGTACGCATCTTTTTTCGTTGCTTCGTTTAATTTCCGCGCATCTAAACAAAGTCGGACTTTATTTGGCTTAATTACCATACGAATTGGTGAGCTCCAAGAGCTGTTAGAGGGTTCTATTACCCCAAGCTCTAGCATCCGATCGATTTCCGCATAAAGGACTTTTTCGACGGCTGGACTGACAGGGTAGTGTCTCTGTTTCACTGGCGTGGCCAATCCCACGTCAATGTGATGCTTTAGTAAGGAAGTACGCCCTAAGCCTTGTTTCGTAAAATTTGGAAACAATTCCTTCACCGCTTCTAACTTTTGTAGTTGCCTCTCGTTGAGCGGATAGGAATCCTGGACAATTTGAGTTACTGAAGGGCTCTCGATTGCACCAACTATACTCGGCGCTAATGCAAAAGTTCTCCAGAAATCAATTCCTAATATAAGTCTCTGAGCTATGGTTGGAATAATGTATAATTCTATTACATTTTCATTATCTTTATATTTCATTTTAACTTTCAAAATTCCTAAAACCTTATGGGCCTTGGCATCCGCAGTTTTAACTTGCGATACGATGGCTTTATATCCGGGAAAACAACTGAAATCCTGCAAAGCTAAATCGGCTCCTATACAGCTAACATTTGCTCCTGTATCAAGCAAACCCCATTCTGTAAAATTCAGAAAGGAAACATTTGCATAACTTCGTCTGTCTGAGATGTTTTGAAAAATGGTCGATACTACATTACGTTGCTTACTTTTTAAATTGCTATAATAATTTTTCAATCGTTTTGTATTCCGTTTTCGTGGCTTTGTTTTTTCATTAAAGATTCTATCTCGTACTAAATAATAATTTCGAAGCCTGTCTTCGTACGGCCGAAATGCTGTTTTCAAATCCACTGACTCTTGCGTGGTATTTGACTTATCTAATATTTTGGATTGAAGATCAACTATTTTCATTTTTGTCTCATCCTCCAACCTTTGACCTAAGGAGTTGTCTAAGTCTTTGTCTACGTCTGGGTATGAAGCTATGAGTGGGACTGGGACATCCGATTGTTCTGGGATGCCCCCCGCCTTTCGGTTTTCCGAACGATTCTTACAGTTCAGACAATTGGGTTTATAGACTTCCGGCTTGCCACATCCGTAGCAAAATATGCGACGTTCTGCTAAACAATCCTCAAATATATGACCCGCCTTGGTACAGTTCCAGCAAATAATTTTCGAGGGCGCTCTCAAAGCCGAAATATCCTTGTCTAGTTCATCGATCTCTGTCTCTGTCTTTGAGTCTTCATCGACAGCGTAAACTCGGTAGTTGGTCTCTTTGGGTTTTGCTTGAGTACGGATTGTTTTGGCAGCATCCTGCAGAAACCTTTCTCTCTTTTGGACCAACTTTCGTAAGTGTTCCATAGAATAGATATCTTCAAAAAGCAACCTATCTTTCATATCCGTGAGCAAATTTCCCTGAACTAATTCAATTAATTCGTTTTCTTCAAAATGCACTGACAATTTATCCATTAGTTTGCAAATGGATTCGTAAAAGGTATCAAACAATTCGCCAGGTTTTTGTTTACGAGCACGAATTTGTTCGCGTAGCTCGGTCATAGATCGACTTTCTTTATATTGGGCACGCAGCGCGGTTGCAAACTGTTGCCAGTTCAGGTTCTCGGTCTGTTTATGCATTCGCCAAAACCAAGAACTAGCCTTGCCTACTAACAGCTGATGCACATTTCGAACAAGCGAATCAAAATCATTATTAAGATGTTTTCGCGTTAATACTTGTACTCGATATAAAAATTCTTCCACCGACAAACCCTCAGATGTCCCTTCGAAACGCACACCCCACTTCTGAATAATATCTGCGACCTTATTCGTTGCTAGAATGGATGAATTATGAGAAATGAGACTTTGGTTAACCGTGGGTGTTCTTTCTTGTTGTCGATTTTCCTGATTGTTTCTCACTGTTAATGTTTGCATCATTTGCCTTACAGTTTCTCGAACTAAAACTTCAATGTCCGGTTGCGACCAATTATCTTCGTTTAGATTATCGTCACTCCGATTAAATCGTCTAGGCAGTCTGCCTCTTCGTGCACCTCTTCGTATTGCACCTCCTCTCTCCATATTAGTGTTATTACCCCTTGCACCTCTATTACTATCGACAGCTGCCACGTTAGGTATTAACTCTGGTTGCTGCGAAAAAAACTTCTGCCTCTGTTGGGGGATTTTCTACAAGTTCTAATTGTCTAGCCACTGAACGAGTATTTGGACGTTTATTCGCAGTAGTTCCTGGTGGATCGTTTCTCAGCTCTGGAGAGAAATTTCCAATAACTACTTTAACATCCTTCAACAGAACTTTTGTAAAACAAGAAGGACATTCATTCTCTTTATCCGGATGAAACTTACTCTCAACACAAGATTTATGGAATACATGCTTACAAGGTGTCATCGCACAAGGCTGTGTATCCACCATTGGCTCTTCGCACAATAAACAAACATCTTGGTTAGCCATTGGAGCGAACGTTTTATCAGGAGTATGATGAAGTGGCATAATGTTTTTGTTTAGGTTCTACAAATTTGTGTTTATTTTGTAATAATCTCTCGTTATATTTTATTTATCTCGTTTTGACCTATCTTTGGGGATATGAATGATCTGATCGTAGTTAACCTGGTTCCGACATAATTTATTTTGGTATTTTTATTTGTTTATTTATTTTTTTTTTTAATATATGTTCGGGCTATTTCCTCTAATTGGAATGATACTTGATTTTCAGATATTTACTAATCGCAACTAACGGACACATGTACACTTACGCATACCCTATGTATTCCAGTCAATCCAACTTTGCAAACAACTAACCGATAAACCATTTTCTCACTCCTCTGATGATAGAAACTGAAGCTACTCTACAGCTCAAAAACCGATAGCTATACTTCGGTCGTCAGAGTTCACACTTGCAAACCTACGATATCCAGAAAGTAGAAACTATAGTTATAATATGCACTGCAGACCACTCTCAATAATTTATCATTCGAAAACAAACGAGCTATCTATCTAGGGAGCTCGGTTGCTTTACTTTTATTGGTCGATCTTACTCAGCGCACGCAAATAATTCGATATCCGAAAAAAAATAAAGTACCTCCTAGACATTTGGGCTTAAATAACTGAAATCTCTCGTTATGTAGAATTCAATTATCGCGGCTCCACGTGTGGGCGCCAAATACTTATGTAATGGTTGCCTACACTGAAGAAAAATTGATCACAACTATCTACAGTGTAAGTTAACTGAATCAGGCAGCAGTGTATACAGCGGAACGGGACCCTCTTGTTGTTTCTAGCTCTTCCGGGATGGGGGGGGTTATTGCTGTTACTGCTTCCGACATTACACGAAGAATTATTTATAGAGTCCCTATCTGAAACTAATAAGCCATCTGATCATGGCTGAAATATTCAGGCTAACTGCCTACAAAAGAAAATCAGAGAAAATCTCCAACTCACAGGACGACAATAATGATGAAAAGGGAATATGTCTAGCACCAGGATCTGTTCGTGGTGTCTTAGCTGTTGTTTGACACACACAGAGTCGCTACCCACCCTACCAATGCCTTTGTACTTTAAGTGTTAGCAAAGACCCCATATTGTAGCTGATCAAAACATTTAAATCCCCAGGTCACGAGATGATTGCATCTACTCCATCATGATATTACTGATTCGATATGACATACTGCATTATTTATTTAAATAATTTCAATAGAAAAGTAACTTAAAGAAATTCTGGTTACTGACATAATAATTTCGAATGTTCGTTTTAATTAATTTGCTTCTTTTCATTTTTTAATTTAAAACAATTCAGTTGCGATTCATTTATGCTTTCATTGTGACTGTTGAGCTATTGAGCTTTTTCAATAGCTGTCGAATTGTCCAATTGCTTTTGACCCAAAAAATACGCACTTGTTTTAAAACGTTATAAATTAAATGCAATATTTATTAGCCACGAAGTTTTCTATCAATTATCAGCGCAGGCCAGCCGAATTGCCGCTGCGGATATTTATGACCCGAAATGGTCCGAAATTGGTTATAGGCAAATATTTAAGCTGATCGTTTTCAGGCGTAGGTGAAGACAAACGGAGACGAACTGACAAAAGAATTTCTGCTGCAGTTAGCGGACGGCCAAGGGCAGCTATGCAAATAGAGCGAGAGAGTGATAAAGTTTATGTTTTGCAGAAGGCAGGAGGAGAGGTAAAGCTTTGCTACGCAGAGCAAATTTATTGTTGTTGTTTAGCCGCTGGGTCATCAGGTGCGGGCTGCATAACCAGACATTCTCCCCCGTTGGAAGACAAGGGCTTTCAACTTCATCCTGCTTCGGCAGCACACACAGCTTAGCAACTGCGCGATTGATGAGGCCAGTGGCGGTCTTCAGCACAGCGACTCGAGCCACATTGTCGGATCCAGCGACGAGGTTGACCACTCGAGCTAGTGGCCACTTGAGGGAGGGCAGGTTTTCGTCCTTAACCAGAACGACATCACCGAGTTGAACATCCGTCTTCTGTGTGCGCCACTTGGAGCGCTGCTGAAGGAGCGTCAGGTACTCCCTTTTCCAGCGGGACCAGAACAGTTGCTGGTAAAACGAAATTTTCTGCCAGCGATCCAACCGATTGAGGTTCAAATTAGTGTAGTCAGGCTCAGGAAACAAGGCCAGAGGAGCAGTACCCAAGAAGTGCGCCGGTGTCAACACATCAAGATCGCCAGGGTGTTCTGAAAGTGAGACTAAAGGACGAGAATTAATGATTGCCGCGATGTGGCAAACGAGAGTGCGCAGGTCATCAGCGGGCAGTATCGCAGGTCCAACAGATCGGTAGAAGTGGTACTTCGCAGTCTTCACAGCCGCCTCCCATAGACCTCCAAAGTGGGGTGAGCGAGGAGGAATAAATCGCCATTCGATACTGTCAGTCAAGCAGAATTCATCTATTGCGGTTTGGTGGCTGGCATTCAGGAACAATCGCTTTAGATCAGCCAACTCGTTCTTAGCGCCTACAAAATTAGTCGCATTGTCCGACCATATGCGGGCAGGCTTGCCACGAATCAATATAAAGCGCCTCAATGCGCTAAGAAACGCTGAAGTGGAGAGATCCTGGACCAGCTCGAGGTGAACAGCCTTTGTGGAAAAGCAGATAAAAATGCAGACGTAGCACTTAATGGGTGCCTTATTCCGAACTTCCGACTTGTGATAGAAAGGGCCACAAAAATCCAGTCCAGTCACCTGGAAGGCGTAAGATGCGCTGACGCGGTCCTCCGGAAGATCCGCCATAATGTGGCCAGCAACATGTGGCTTGGCCCGAAAACAAATTATGCATTTGCTCACAGCACTCGCAACCGTCTTGCGGCCACCAATTGGCCAAAACTGCTGCCGGATTGAAGCGAGCAGGGAGCGAGGTCCAGAGTGTAAGTTGCGCCGATGAAAATGCAGGATTATTGCGCGGGTTACAGGATGCTGACGAGGTAATATCAGTGGATGGCGTGCCTCATAGTCCAGAGCAGAGTTTTTCAGTCGACCGCCAACACGTAAAAGCCCAAGTTCGTCGATAATGGGCGAGAGCGATGCGATGGAGCTGGAGGCCTTTATTGGCCGTCCTCGAAGCAGGCAATGATACTCGTCATTAAGATGAACCCTCTGAATGGAGCGAATGAGCATTTGGGTGCCACAGCGAACATGTTCCGAAGTGAGACCTGGTTGCCTGATACGATGGCGAAACTTGTAGATGTAGCCGAAGACATGCTTTAATTTTTCCCACGAGTTGACGAATTTGCAGTACAAGGATACATCAGCAGCTGCCGAGATGCCAATCAAAGCAATCTTTTTAAGGTCAGGAAGAGTCTTCAATGCAAGGCAGGACTCTGGCCATTGAGATTTTTCCTTTTGAAGATAGTCAGGTCCATGAGCCCATAGGTTAGAAGCTACCAGTTCACTGGGAAGAGCACCTCTTGACAGGATATCTGCTGGATTGCAGCTCGTAGGGACGTAGCGCCATTCCATTCCAATTGTAATAGACTGAATTAAAGAGATTCGGTTAGCAGTAAATATTTGAAAACGTGACGACTCATCTCTAATCCAGGACAAAACAACTGCAGAATCCGACCAGCAGTAGTAGGAGCACGAGAATAGCCCCATTTGTTGTACTTCTTGAATGAGTTGAGCCAGCAGCACGGCAGCAGACAACTCCAGCTTAGGGACCGTGAGAGTCTTCAGTGGCGCCACACGAGATTTAGCGCAGAGGAGATGGGCAATCCTTCGGTCATCCTCCATGGACACGACGTAAATGCAGCCTCCGTATGCGTCAATACTGGCATCACTGAATCCGTGGACTTCGATCACGTTGTTTGGGTTCAGTGCTAGTCGAGGAAACTGGAGCTTTTGCGTCTCACAAATATTGGCCGACAAACTTAGCCACGATGAATTAAGCGCTGCAGGCAAGCTTTCGTCCCAGTCGAGTCTCTCTCTCCAGATCTTCTGTAAAAATATTTTGGCTTTAGTAATTACAGGACAAATAAGACCTAGAGGATCATAAAAGCAAGCGATCGTAGACAAGACTGAGCGCTTGGTTGGTTTGGCAATAATTTTCATTGGCGATGTGGAGAACAGCAAAACGTCCGACGACGAATCCCAAGCAAGTCCAAGCGTTTTTGTAATGTCGCTGCCATCGTCGAACTTCAAGAATGAATCCCTTTCGGCCTCTGGGATTTGCTGCAGCAAAGCAGGATCGTTTGAGCACCATTTTCTCAACTTGAAATTGCCCCTTTCGAGAAGTCCAGTGGTCTGCCGCATGATCTCCAAGACGTCTTGTGTCGAGTTGCCTCCTGTGATGAGATCATCCACGTAGAAGTCTCGCAAAAGTATTTTGGCGCCAAGGGGAAACGATGCCTTCTCATCTTCTGCCAACTGATGCATGGCTCGAACTGACAGAAACGAGGCAGGTTTAGTTCCATAGGTGACAGTGTCCAGCCTATAAACACGAATTTCCTCTTGCCGTGAATCACGCCACAAAATGCACTGCAAGTAACTATCCGGCTCAGCAATCCGAACGCATCTATACATTTTGCAAATATCGCCGGTTAGGGCGACAGGAAATGTGCGAAACTGCAACAATGTGTTGAACAATCTCGGCTGCAAGGTGGGCCCTGCCATGAGCAACTCATTCAATGAGTATCCAGACGATGATTTGGCAGACCCATCAAAGACAACACGCAGCTTCGTAGTTGTGCTATCCTCTTTAATGACGCAGTGATGCGGCAAATAAAACTTGCATAAATTCCGTGAGTCTAAATCCACAAGAGACATATGATTCAGATCGAGGTACTCACGAATAAATGCCGAGTACTGAGCTTTGAGATGAGGATGACGATCCAGTTTGTTCTCCAGGTTAACGAAACGACGATAAGCTTGTTGATATGAATCTCCCAGGATTTCAACACTATGCTTGGTTGGCAGGCGAACCGAGTATTCTCCTGACGGCAGCCGAGTAAAGTTGGCGTTGAAATGAGCTTCACAATCGAGTTCCTCTTTGGTACGTTGAGATCCAGACTCTCCAACGTTTTCAACTTCCCAAAACTTCCGCACAACGCTCTCCAGACGAGCGTCATCTCCGACTAACGTCCCTGCAGTAGCTTGGACCGCCAAGGCCGCTGACTGGCGTGGCGCTGATCCTCCGCCAGTGACAACCCATCCCAATCGAGATTTTTGCAACAACGGGAGCCCATCAGACAACTTAATTTGGCCAACGCATAGCAGCTCAAAGAATAGACTTGCTCCAATTAATAAGTCAATTCTTTGTGATCTGAAGAACTGTGGATCGGCCAGGCGAATGTTGGAAGGTATGTTCCAGTCCTCTGGGCTGACGGTGAAGCTAGGCTGGTCGTCCGTGATGGCAGGCGCAACCAAAGCCGAGATACTGGAGACGAAATCTGAAGCTTGAGACTTTAGAGTAATATTTAAACCATCCGAGCAAAATTTAGAGTCTCCAAGTCCAGATACAGTGGCCGTGGATTTGACTTTCGGCAACTGAAGCGAGTGTGCGAGGCGAGAAGTAATGATATGCAACTGAGATCCCGAGTCGAGCAAGGCGCGGCAAGGAACCCACGAACCAGAGCGATTTTGCACACTGATGACTGCAGTGGCAAGCAAAACACAATCCGTATCAAGATTCTGAGCGACTAAAGCAGCGGATTGCGATGACGACGAAGCGAGTGAGAAGTTTGACGATACATTTGGAACAGCATTTGACGACGATGGCACGTTAGGTGGAGCAGGTTGTGGGGGCGCTGTTACAGGCGGTGCGGGAAAGTGTAGAAGGCTATGATGCTTAGATCCACATGCTCGACAGGAGCCCGAACTACAATTCCTCAATTGATGTCCAGATTTGAGGCAGTTTAGGCATAAGGCTAGCCGTTTAGCTTCACGCAGACGAGCTTGAGGAGAAAGGCTGGAGAATTGAGCGCAATTATAAATGCCATGATTTGCACCCTGGCACATAACGCACAATCTGGTCGAGGCTGTGATGCTAGTGGCGACAAACGAACTTCTCCCATGACTGCTGAACCTCCTGGGCCTTGAAGCTTGCGCACTGCCACCATTGGATAAAGCAGCATGCTCCACATTCTCCAGTTTCTGGCATCGCTTCTCCAGAAATTTAGTAAATTCTGCGCAGGTGGGTATTTTGTCCAGAGAGGCAGACTCTTCCCATTTAGCCTGGGTAGTCGGGTCAACTTTTTGCAGCAGCGTATGAACAAGAATGCAACCAGCGATCTCCTCCAAGGTTCCCAAACTCTGAAGCGCTCGAAGATTGGCATTGAGCTTATCGGAGAGCTCACGCAGCTTCACAGCTGATGCACTTTCCACCTTTGACAAACCAAAAATATCTGTTATGTGAGCCTGAAAAATAAGGCGTTTATTATTGAAGCGATTGTCAAGTAATTCCAGCGCTACTCCATAGTTAGAGTCAGTGATCTCCAGCGAACGAACGGCATCTAAAGCTGGACCTTTCAGGCATGATTTCAGGTGCTGCAGCTTCTCAATTGGAGCCAGATCACTATTCCTATCAATAATTGTCAGGAACATTGAAATAAAATCGGCATACTCAGTGTAGCCGCCGCTGAAGGTTGGCAACTTAAGCTCAGGAAGGCACGATCTTCTTGGAGCAGGCGCAGCGGCCTCCATGGCCACCTCTGGATGCATGGTTGAACACGGAACTCCTTGGAATTTGCGCTTTCCCAGCTCTTGCAGCACCACCGATCTCATGGAGAACACCAAATCCTCAAAGTCGTCCCGCGCTTTGCTGCCAATTTCCCCATAATCGAGTTCCTCCAACGAATCATGAGCCAATGAGAAAGAGGCTTCGGTTTTATTTATAAGCTCAAGTTTCAGGGTGAGCTCCTCCTCAGGAACGGCCTTAACCCTATCGGCAGTAAGGCCAGAAGCAATTTTTTGAGCATGGGCAGCTATCGCGTTTGCCCTACGCTTAAAGAGCGTAACTCGATTGGGCGGCGAAAACTGAGGAGTTTCTGGGGTCGACATTTTATTTTATTAGCTCACAATATAAACTGCAGCCAACAGTTTGACATGCACTGCAGATTTTTCTTTGTACCGCAATGATGCCCGCACACAAGCGAAAGTATTTTGTCAGAGTTAATGCACAAAATAAGCGGGAAGCGAATTCGAATAGCTGTTACCGACGGCAAATGAACAGCAAGCAGGAGAACGAGAGCAAAGAGTACACGCAAAAGTACCGGTGCATATATGTGTATGTATGTATGTACGTTTGCCTAGCGCGGCGCGGCAACGTACAGCCACAAGCAATGCACTAAACGAAATTGTTTACGCGCTTGGCACAATTATTAAACCGAAATGTTTAATGTTTTTACTAGCCAAGATCACGTCGGGGTCACCAAATGTTTAGCTATTGAGCTTTTTCAATAGCTGTCGAATTGTCCAATTGCTTTTGACCCAAAAAATACGCACTTGTTTTAAAACGTTATAAATTAAATGCAATATTTATTAGCCACGAAGTTTTCTATCAATTATCAGCGCAGGCCAGCCGAATTGCCGCTGCGGATATTTATGACCCGAAATTGTCCGAAATTGGTTATAGGCAAATATTTAAGCTGATCGTTTTCAGGCGTAGGTGAAGACAAACGGAGACGAACTGACAAAAGAATTTCTGCTGCAGTTAGCGGACGGCCAAGGGCAGCTATGCAAATAGAGCGAGAGAGTGATAAAGTTTATGTTATGCAGAAGGCAGGAGGAGAGGTAAAGCTTTGCTACGCAGAGCAAATTTATTGTTGTTGTTTAGCCGCTGGGTCATCAGGTGCGGGCTGCATAACCAGACAGTGACTACAAATGTTTTTAAACGAGGACTTAATGATTAGTTTCTAATTTATTTGTATTGTATTTACATATTTTCTGATAAAGTTAGCGAAAAGCAGAATAAAACTACGCGTTCCTAATCATAATTCAAATATTTCATCTTCATAATTACGTTGGTGCTGGTAGCAATAGAGATCTGCAATGCATACACTAGCCAAGAATATAGCAAAACAAACGCATACCGAGAATTAAGATTTGGTAATGATCATTATATACTCAATAAGAGCGCGGCTAGAGGAGCATTTATACGCAATTAGAAGTGTCCAGAATCTGGCAGCCCAAAACAAACAAACAGAAAAGAATAACGAACAGAGCTTACGGCTCTTCACGGTAGCAGCGGTTGGCTTGGATGATCATATCATGTCACATTAAATTGGTGTTTATATATATATATCCATTTTTGGATCACTTACCCCCATCCGATCCTCGTTGAAGGCCTTCACGATGACGTGGATGACGAGCTGTTAGCGTGTGTTTAAATGATTGTTAATTTAATGCAACATAAATGATTCGTTGGATCGACCCTGCTTATCGCGTTCTTTATGTCTGGTTGTGCGGGTTTTTAGGGCACATGAACCTAGGTCAAGTTTACGCAATCGCGTTCGCTTAGCTAGCGCATGCACTCTAGATACATACTACAGTTTTCCGAGGCTCAAACGAGCCAGATGCGACCGAAATCTGATTAAAACAATCCGAAACTTTTACAGTTGCATAAAACCTAACTAAATCTGCACTCCGGATCTAATGCCGGTTTTGTTTATTTCTGGAGGAGTTTACTCCGATCCTACGCCTTCGTCACGCTCTGGCCGAAAATTGTGGTCCCTGGCCACAGCGTTTGTCGTCTCCCTTCCTCTGCCGCAGCTGGCGAAGCGCGGAAAGGAAAAATAAGTAATCCCACGCCGATGACGTAATCGGGGCTCCTGGCCACCGAACAGATTCGCGGGCAGGGTCGCAAAGGTTTTCGCTTCACCTTTGGCAATATTCCGGTTGCCCTTATAGGAAGGTTCGACTAGAAAAAACAACCGTGGTTACGGAGAGAGCTTTCAGTCGTATAAGAAAACTATTTACCGACAGAGGATGATGCAGAGTAAACTGCGGTACGCTTGAGCGTGGAGCTCCAGAAGGTTCCTTCGCCTGTATGTAGGCGTGCAAGCCGAGAAGGCACGCCGTATTGCGCTGTCTCTATAGGAAACCAATATTAATGCAAGTGCAAATGGCTTGAAGTCTCAAAATAATTACCCAAAACCGGTGCGCGACACTGGCGGATGGTTAACTGGTCGGATGCAACGGCCGATGCCTTGTATTAAATTGGCAAAAGGGACACGTGGCACTTGTGTATTAATTTCGCTCACAGATCGACACTTCTGTAGCGTTCGGCGTTGCAGTGAAAAAAAGGAAGAAGGCGGATGTTTTGATCGTGTCGGAAATGATGCTTAATCGATTAATTCGTGCTGTCAACTGTCAATTTCGCACAGCTGATTGTGATCGACTAGGGCTGGAGCATACGATATGACTATCGTAAGGCGCGTATGTCAAATCTTTTGAATTTTACAACGTTAACCTTTTTGTCCAATGCTGCCCATTACAATACTCAATTGTAAATTTGTAAACAAAAAGTTCACAACTCAGCTAATAATGCCTGAATCCACTTCAGAATTTATATTTATATTAGTTTTTACACGTCTAATACATTTGCATACGTAATTGTAAATTTGTAAACAAAAAGTTCACAACTCAGATAATAATGCATGTATCCACGGCAGAATTTATATTTAAATTAGTTCTTACAATGCTAATACATTTGCATACTCAATAGTAAATTTGTAAACAAAAAGTTCACAACTCAACTAATAATGCATGTATCGACGGCAGAATTTGTACTTATATTAGTTTTTACACGGCTTATACATTTGCATACTCAATTGTAAATTTGTAAACAAAAAGTTCACAACTCAGCTAATAATGCCTGAATCCACTTCAGAATTTATATTTATATTAGTTTTTACAGGGCTAATTCATTTGCATACTCAATTGTAAATTTGTAAACAAAAAGGTCACAACTCAGCTAATAATGCATTCACTTCAAAATTTGTATTTATATTAGTTTTTACACGGCTAATACATTTGCATGCTCAATTGTAAATTTGTAAACAAAAAGTTCACAACTCAACTAATAATGCATGTATCGACGGTATAATTTGTACTTATATTAGTTTTTACACGTCTTATACATTTGCATACGTAATTGTAAATTTGTAAACAAAAAGTTCACAACTCAGATAATAATGCATGTATCCACGGCAGAATTTATATTTAAATTAGTTCTTACAATGCTAATACATTTGCATACTCAATAGTAAATTTGTAAACAAAAAGTTCACAACTCAACTAATAATGCATGTATCGACGGCAGAATTTGTATTTATATTAGTTTTTACACGTCTAATACATTTGCATACTCAATTGTAAATTTGTAAAAAAAAAGTTCACAACTCAGATAATAATGCATATATCCACTTTAGAATTTATATTTAAATTAGTTCTTACAATGCTAATACATTTGCATACTCAATTGTAAATTTGTAAACAAAAATTTCACAGCTCAGCTAATAATGCCTGTATCCACTTCAGAATTTGTATTTATATTAGTTTTTACAGGGCTAATTCATTTGCATACTCAATTGTAAATTTGTAAACAAAAAGGTCACAACTCAGCTAATAATGCATTCACTTCAAAATTTGTATTTATATTAGTTTTTACACGGCTAATACATTTGCATGCTCAATTGTAAAATTGTAAACAAAAAGTTCACAACTCAGATAATAGTGCATATAACCACTGCAGAATTTGTAATTATATTAGTTTTTACATGGCTAATACATTTGCATACTCAATTGTAAATTTGTTAACAAAAAGTTCACAACTCAGCTATTAATTCATGTATCCACTTCAGAATTTGTATTTATATTAGTTTTTACACGGCTAATACATTTGCATGCTCAATTGTAAAATTGTAAACAAAAAGTTCACAACTCAGATAATAGTGCATATATCCACTTCAGAATTTGTAATTATATTAGTTTTTACACGTCTAATACATTTGCATACTTAATTGTAAATTTGTAAACAAAAAGTTCACAACTCAGATAATAATGCATGTATCCACGGCAGAATATATATTTAAATTAGTTCTTACAATGCTAATACATTTGCATACTCAATTGTAATTTTGTAAACAAATAATAATGTAATGTATCGACGGTATAATTTGTACTTATATTAGTTTTTACACGTCTTATACATTTGCATACTCAATTGTAAATTTGTAAACAAAAAGTTCACAACTCAGCTAATAATGCCTGAATCCACTTCAGAATTTATATTTATATTAGTTTTTACACGTCTAATACATTTGCATACTCAATTGTAAATTTGTAAACAAAAAGTTCACAACTCAGATAATAATGCATATATCCACTTTAGAATTGTAAACGCCCAAAATGAATCCGGTATAATGCGATCTTTATTATATTAACACACTTTCGACTTCTCTCAATTAACGCACGCCACCGAATGAATCGGCGTCGCTTCTTTTCCCTCTACTTATACCTTCCGATGCGTAAGCGAGATAGGTATACGTACGTATTTATCCCTTAATGCTAATGTATGAGATAGACAGAGATGACAGTGTTATACTTAATTCTAACGGGGCTTTTATCTTGTATGCCTCTTCAATACAATGGGCTTTATCCTGACTCTATGCTAATATAATGTACAGTGGGCCTTATGTGTATCTAGCCTACCACAACTCGGCCGTCCTGACTAGCTGATCCCCTGATCATGGTTTATATTACTTATTTGTACATATATTTACAATGAATTAAAATGTTTCTTCTATTTATACATATTTACATATTATTGCGGTTTATCATAATTATTATTGCTTAATCGTGCTTTTTCTTTTTGCCTATCCAATGCCTAATATTTTGAATGCTCCAGACACCTTGGTAAGGGTTACGAGATACCTGAAAACCTTCTACGTCCTTTAACAAAAACCTGTCGTTTCTTAATACTTTTGAAATTACATATGGACCCTTATTTTTTGGAATTAACTTTCTAGAGACACCTGCTGTGCAGTCGAAATTTTTCA